TCTTCTAGGATATCAATTCGTTAGCATATATTGCTCACAGCAGTCTCTTATCCTTTGTATTTCTGTGGTATCAATTGTAATGTTTCCTCTTTCATTTGAGTTTTTTCTCCTTTTTTCTTAGTCTAGCTAAAGGTTTTTCAATTTTACCTTTTCAAAAAACCAACTCTTAAGCTTCACTGATTTTTTTATTGTTTTTGTAGTCTCTATTTTATTTATTTCTGCTCTGATCTTTACTATTTCCATCATTCTTTTGACTTTGGGTTTAGTTTGCTCTTCTTTTTCCAGTTTCTTAAGAAGTAATGTTACTTGAGATCTTTCTTCTCTTTTTGTTATAGGTGTTTACTGCTATAAAATTCCTTCTTAGAAATGCTTTTCCTGCTTCCTACAAGTCTGGTATGTTGTGTTTTCATTTTCATTTTTCTCGAGATATTTTAAAATTTTCCTTTTAATTTCTTATTTGACCCACTGGTTGTTCAAGAACCTATTTTATTTCCACGTATTTGTCATTTTTCCAATTTTCCTACTGTTATTGATTTGTTTCATATCATTGTGATTAGAAAATGATACCTGATTTGATTTCAATCTTCTTAAATTTTTTAAGACTTATTTTGTGACCTAAAATATGACCTATCTTGGAGAATGTTCTATGTGAGCTTGAGAAGAATGTGTATTCTACTTCTGTTGGATGGAATGTTCTGTATATTGTCTATTGGACCCATTTGGTCTAAAGTATAGTTTAAGTTTGATGTTTCCTCATTGATTTCTATCTAGATGATATGTCCATAGCTGAATGTGGTATAATGGAGCCCCCTACTATTATTGTATTACAGTCTATCTCTCCCTTCAGATCTATTAATATTTGCTTTATATATTTAAGTACTCCAATATCAGACGCATGTATATTTATAGTTATATATCCTCTAGCTGAATTGATCCCTTCATCATTACATAATGACCTTTGTCTCATTTTACAGTTTTTGACTTACTTTCTTTTTTATCTCATCAAAGTATAGCTACTCCTGCTCTCTCTTGGTTTCCACTTGTATAGAATATTGTTTCCCATCCCTTCACTTGCAATCTATGTGTGTCTTTACAGGTTAAATGAGTCTCTTGTAGGCAGCATATAGTTAGCTTTTGTTTTTAATCCATTCAGTCACTCTATGTCTCTTGATTGGAGAATTCAATCCATTTACACTCAAGGCAATTACTGATAGGTAAAAACTTACTACTGCCATTTTGTTGATTGTTTTCTGGTTGTTTTGAGTTGATCCTTTGTTCCTTTTTTCCTCTCTTGCTATCCTGCTTTGTGATTAGGTGATTTTTCTCTAGTGGTGTGCTTTGATTCCTTACTTTTTATCTTTTGTGTATCTACCATAGGTTTTTGCTTTGTGGTTACCATGAGGTTTACATAAGACATCTTATGGTCATAACAGGATATTTTAGCTGACAACAACTTCACTTTTATCACATTAAAAAAATACACTTGTACTCCACCCCCCACACTTTAAATTTCTGATGTCACAATTTACATCTTTTTATATTGTGTATCCCTTAACAATTTATTGTAGCTATTATTTTTAATAGTTTTGACTTTTAACCTTCATACTAAAAATAATTGATTTACACACTGCCATTACAGTATTAGAGTATTCTGAATATGACAATGTACTTACTTTTACCAATGAGTTTTATACTTTGTGTTGCTCATTTGGGTCTTTTTATTTCTGCTCAAAGAACTCCCTTTAGAATACCTTGTAAGACAGGTCTTGTGGTGATGAACTCCTTTAGCTTTTGTTTGTCTGTGAAAGTCTTTCTCTCTCCTTCATTTCTGAAGGACAGCTTTGCCAGGTAAAGTATTCTGATTGGCAGGTTTTTTTCCTTCAGCATTTTGAAAATATCATCTCGCTCTCTCCTGGCCTACGTGGTCTCTGCTGAAAAATCTGCTGCTAGCTGTATTAGAACTCCCTTATACTTGTATGCTACTTGTTTCTTTTCTCTTGCTGCTTCCTGAATCCTCTTTGTCCTTGATTTTTGACAGTTTGATTATAATATGTCTTGGTATGTCTTGTTTGGATTGAATCTGATTGGAGAACTTTGACCTTCCTGTATTTGGATATTTATGTCTTTCCCAGATTTAGAAAGTTTTCAGCTATTACTTCTTTAAATAAGCTTTCTACTCCTTTGTCTCTCTCTCTTCCTTCTCTAACTACTACAATTCAACTATTTGCTATTTTGATGCTGTCCCATAAATACCATAAGCTTTCTTCATTACTTTTCATTCTTTTTTTCTTTTCTGATTGTATATCTTCAATTAAACTGCCCCAGTACTGGGGGCAGTCCAGAGCCTGAGGCCACTGGAGTCTGGATGGGCCTGGAGACCTTCTGTCAGGCATGCCTGAAGCCTAGGGTTTCAAGTTCCAGACTGGCACGAGGGTGGGCCTGGAGACTCAGTCCACGAGTGCCAGCCTGGAGTCTGGGGCCATGGGGTCCCTCCTGGTGCTGGGTTTTACTGGGGCAAGCCTGGTGTTACAGTCTGAGGCAAAATCTGGTGCTTACTTCCTTCTCCTTCCCCCATATAAAGGGGATCTCTGTCTATACTGCACTGCCTGAAGTTGGGGGAGGGGTGGGGTAGGTAATATAAAACTGTCCCTCCTACCCTTTTCAATGCATCTTTTCTTATTTCTTTGTAACACCTGTGTAATCTCTCACCTGCTTTCCTTAGCTCTTGGGAAGGTACTTTAGTGTGTGGATAGTGTTAGAATTGATATTTCTATGTTGGGAGGAGCACTGGAAAGTCCTATTCTTCCTTCTTGCTGATGTCCTTTGAGATTAATTTCTATAATCAATTCTTCCGAGTTACTGAACAGTCTTCTAGATTCCACTGCGACCCCCTCTAATTTATTCCCCAAATTGCAACTAGAGTTATCTTTTTTATTTTTTTTTTAAAAGATGACCAGTAGGGCCGGCCCGGTGGCACACTGGAGAGTGTGCTGCCCAGCGCTCCCGCCAAGGGTTCAGATCCCATGTGGAGACCGGTTCCCGCTCACTGGTTGAGCGCGAAAAGATGACCAGTAGGGCCGGCCCGGTGGCACACTGGAGAGTGTGCTGCCCAGCGCTCCCGCCGAGGGTTCAGATCCCATGTGGAGACCGGTTCCCGCTCACTGGTTGAGCGCGGTGCGGGTGCAACACTGAGGGTTGCGATCCCGTTGACGGTCCCCGGTGCGGGCGCGACACCAAGGGTTGCGATCCCGTTACCGGTCAGTAAAAAAGACAAAAAGGAAAAAAAAAAAAAAAGATGACCAGTAAGGGAATCTTAACCCTTGACTTGGTGCTGTCAGCACCACACTCTACCAAGTGAGCGAACTGGCCATCCCTATATAGGAATCTGAACCTGCAGCCTTGGTGTTATCAGCACCACACTCTTCCGAGTGAGCCACGGGCCGACCCTAGCTAGAGTGATCTTTAAAAAAAAAAATCTGATTATGTCACTCCCCTGATTAAAACCCTTCAATGATTCTTTATGGTTTTCAGGATAAAGTCAAAATTCCTTAACACAGAACATGAGGGCTTTTGTGAGCTATGTCCGACTAAATTCTCTTGACCTCATCCCTCAGCATTCCCCCTTCCACTGATAAACAAGCCAAGAGCCCTTGAACTTGTTGCTGCCAATGTCCCCTTTCTCTAAGCTCTGTCTCCTTCTCACCTCCAGGGTAAACTTCTACAGAACTTTAGGACTTACCCTAGGTATCAACATCTCCAGAAATCATGGATCAGATACCCCTCTGTTGATCTCTGTCAGAGCGCTTATCCCATCATAAAACAAAATTGCCTATTAACCTGCTCGTCTCTTTCCTCTACTTGGTTGAGTTCTCTGAGAGCCTAGTAAACTTTAAACCCTTGGTTCCTAGCACAATGACTGTCATATAGAAGACCTAGCTAAATACTTGAATTAATAGGTTAAATGGTATCATTTTGAGCATAGGTAAAATAAAAACAACTAAGATTTGTTACTACTTTACAGTTTATAACACAGCCATCATCTCTCATTAATTTTCATAACAATCCCAATAGGTAGGTGGTACCATCAACCATATTTTATATATGAAAAAACAAGAACAGAGAAGTTAAGTGATTTGCCCAAGGCATTACTCAAATGTAGGCCTCTTACATAGTTTTAGGACTGAGACTCTTCTATCAAACAATCATAGCTCTCCTGAAATATTCAGAAGTGAGTAAGGTAGTTTATTCTGCAACAGAACTTCAAATCATCCTCTAACTGTGCAATTTAATCTTTTAAAATAAAAAGGGTATTTACATAAATTTGAAAAAGAAAAAGAAAAAACTGAATACCTGTATTGCTTAAATTTTTCACATATTTAAAAAACTCCATTTCTAATCATTGTACTTAACATCTCAGAAAGCTGAAAAAAATTCAATATCTGTTGTAGTTACAAGGTTTATATGTTTATTAATACATAAATATCTGAGAATAGAGTCAGAAAGTTTACCTATTCTTGAAAAGGTTCATTGCTGTATGCCATCAGAAATGCCTAGTAATGGCAAAATTCTGGGTCATAAATATCAGTAATGTTCTTGCTAGACACAGTCAGAAATGAAAGCAATATTAACAATTTTCTCTAACCTGACCTAGGATTATAAAATCTATTTTCCTTGATGTGCTGACAAAGACCAAATTCAGTGCAGAGCTAATTTCTCATAGGATACAAATTTTCTTTTATGGATTAATTCCCAAGCATTAGTCACCAATCTCAATCACCTAATGATGGCATTTCTATAGGAGAATATCATAATTATCACAGTCAATTCTACCACACTCTATGGTGAAAAAAGTAGGATTCACACCAACATCTTCTATTCAATTAACAAAATTACTGTTCTAACACAGGATTATTTTAAAAAATTCAAACAACTGTTTTAAGTTCATTTTTGAGACATATCAATAATCTTTAAAAAAAAAAAAAAAAAAACCGAATACTTACAATACATCCTTGAAGTCTCCAAACACATACATATGCCTAAAACTGTCAATGGCTATTACAGGGCAATCCGCTGGAGTCTTCTGTATGTGCAAAAGAGGATGTCTAAATTTGTCACAATCAGCATGTAAAAAGTTTATTGTACCTTTAAAAGAAATGGAATTTTGAGAGGTAGATTAGAATTTTCTTGATTGTTTTCTCACAGGATAGTATAAAAAGTGACATACTAAAAAAAAACCAAACAAAAAACCCCACGAAATTCTTTAGAGTAATATAGATCAGAAAAACTAAAACCTAAATATTATAACACTTTTTTTTTTCCTTTTTGTCTTTTTTCGTGTCCGGCAACAGATCGCAACCCTCAGTGTCGCACCCGTACCAGACCGGGACCGGCAACGGGATCGCAACCCTCGGTGTTGCTCCCACTCCTCGCTCAGCCAGTGAGCGGGAACCGGTCTGTATGTGGGATCCAACCGTCGGCGGGAGCGCCACCGCGCTCCCAAGCGGCGCACTGTAGCAATGCGCCACCGGGCCGGCCCTAACACTTTTAAAAAGAGGTAGAATTTTAGTTCTTAGGGCAGAGAGTATAATTTCCTAAGAAATTATGTGAACTCAACCCAAAGTCAAATGCTATAGTGAATTTTTTATTTTCCTTAAACGGGCAATCGTCAGCTCTGGAGATTACCCAAGTTCTGAGTAGCAAATTCCCAAAACTGATACATGAGTTGTTCTTATAGGACCATCTTCATTCCAACCCCTTCCAACACCTACTGGTTGACTTTTTTTTTTTTTAAAGCTGACAAAAGCTTGTTTTATTTGAATGGTTGATCTATGTAGTCACTGAGGCCACTATGTACAAACGATAGGAGGGGAGCATTTTTTCTTGGTCTCTTCCTCCTTGGACAAAATCTTGATGTCTCCTTTTCTTGGCATGGAGGCACTCTTCACAGTGCTTGTGTGCTTCCTTGTTCTTAGACCTGTGGGCCTCACCCTGGTCAATTAGGAGCTTCATGCAAGCCTTGTCTGCCTTCAGCTTGTGGATGTGTTCAATGAGAATCTGCTTGTTTTTGAACACGTTCCCCTTCACCTTTAGGTACAGGCTGTGATACACATGGGGCCGTCGATGTTCTTAGATTCACGATATCTTCTAAGCAGCTGGTGCAGAATCTCCATGCTCCTCATCCAGGTTACCCTCTCCAGCATTCGCACATTGGCTGTACCCTCTCGCTTACCTAGGCCCATATGCCTGCCTTCCCTGCGAGCCAAGGTGTTTTTCTGGCATCAAGCCCGGGAATGGACAGTTACAGACTTGCAGATAATAAACCCATTTGTATTAGTCTGTTTATGTTGCTTATAACACATGACCAGGCTGCAAATTTTTTAATTTTTTACACTCTGCTTCCCTTTTAAATTCTGGCTTTATGCCTTTACCGCCATAACTCAGCATAGGGTGTTACAAGTAGCCATGCAGCTTCCTTAATGCTTTGCTGCTTAGAAATTCCTTCCACCAAATGCTCTGGTTCACAACTCCTAAGTTCCAACTTCCACAAAGTCCTAGGGCATAAACACAACGCAGCCAAGTTCCTTACCAGTTCACAGCAAGGGTGACCTTTGCCCCAATTTCCAATAAACTCCTGCTGATTTCTGAGACCTCCTAGAATGGCCTTTACAGTCCATATTTCTATCAGTATTCTGCTCACCACCACGTAACCAGTTCTAAGACATTACAAACTTTCCCTCGTCTTTTTGTCTTCGTCTGAGACCTCCAAACTCCTCCAACCTTTGCCTAACACCCAGTTCCAAAGCTGCTTCCACATTTTCAAGCATTTGTTATAAGCAACACCCCACATCTCTGGCACCAATTTTCTGTATTAATCCATTTATGTTGCTAATAACAAAATACCTGAAACTGGGTGATTTATAAAGAAAAACGACATTTATTGCTTACAGTTTCTGAGGCTGGGAAGTCCAAAGTCCATCTGGTGGTGGTGACAGTGACCCAGGGGTCTCATATTGCAAGATGGTGGAAGCAGAGAGAGCAGAGAGAAACAGACTCTCCTCTTCTTTTAAAGTCCTCAGAACCACGCCCCTCGCCACCATTTTTAATCCATTCCCTACAGCATGGTCCTACAATCCAGTCACCTCTTCAAGTCTCCACCTTTCAATTACCATAATAGGATTTCCCACCCTTTTAACAGTCACAGTGGGGGCTAAGTTTCTAATACACAAAACTTGAGGACACAATTCAAGCTTCAGGGAGTTTTGGGGGGACATAACTCAACCCACTACACCATCTTTGATCAGCTTCCGGATCTGCTGACGGGAATTGGCATTCGCAGTTTTATTGTTCTCACTGGGGTCCAACCAGACCTTTTTGCCACAGTAATAGACACTGGAGGCAGCCTCTTCCGAAGCCTGAGCGTACTCATGGCTGTGGCCATAGCAGAGAAAGGAAAGAACCTGCTGGTTGACTTTTAATCTAATGCAACCCCCAAAATATTTACTAAGTAACTAAAATGGGCAGTTACATTACAATGCCTTTATTTTGTTTGACTTTCTTCCCTAACTACAGAGGGGAAGCTGGTGATCCCTCAAATTACATTTAGATGCTTTAGAGAAATCCAAAAGCAACTTCTCAACTTTCTCTCATTTACAAATAAGTGTGAATCAGACTATGAAAACTTTCTCAGCAATATATCTGTGAATTTCTATTGGAAAGATGCTTTAGAGAAATCCAAAAGCAACTTCTCAACTTTCTCTCATTTACAACTAAGTGTGAATCAGACTATGAAAACTTTCTCAGCAATATATCTGTGAATTTCTATTGGAAAGGGGGCCAGACAAGCATCAGGGTGCTGGAAAAAAGTGCCCAAAACTAATGTTGTTCATCTATGACCCTACTTTTCATATTACTTGGTTGTTCTCTCTAAAATAGTCATGGTATAGAAAAAAACAAAAAAGAAAACACCACTTTATATTATCTTTCTACTAATGCCTTCTCACCCCATTTTTTAAAAATTTTATTAACATTATCTTTTTACATTCTATAATGTTGCAGAGCAGTTGGGAGGGAGGGGGAGAGGGGAAGGAAATGTGACGGAAGGAGGAAGGCGGAGGGGCAGGATTGAGACCTGTGGTAACCCCCTCATTCCCACAGAGGAGACGGTCACTCCCATATTTAGATGTAAATGTTAAAATAACTTTGCGTTAAGTTTTTAAGCCAAATATGTTTATGTGGATATAAATGTAACAGGAGAGGGGAGAGGGAGAAAGAGAAAAAAACAGAAAGAAAGAAAGAAAAGATGAAAATAAACACCTTAATCTGTCTACCTTTTTCACTTATTAACTGCCGGGCTACTTCATTCTGGAATATTTCTAAACTTTCTGTATCCTCTTTCATGTGGAAGAGTATGAGAAAAGGCAGTCCTTCTTCTGTCAATTCCTGTAGAGAGAAGCATTCAATGAGAACTATCAGGCATCTCCATTCGGTCCTAGCTATTTTCTTGGCAGGAACAATTCTGAACCCAACCCATTGAACAAAATAGTTGCAACATCCCAGGAAAAAAAAAAAGTCCAATGGTGTAAATAAACATAAGCCTTGATGGAAGAATCAATTCACTCTCCTCCTCACCCCAAGTACCCAGGCACTCAGAGGACCCACATGCCCTGCTCTGCTGCAGGAACTGATCTGCCTTAAGAAAGCCACTGGGCTGTACTGTTAGCTGGTATTAGATATGAGGCTTCAGGGTACAGCCAGCTGAACTCATGACATTTAAAGCTGACCAAAGAAGGAACTATGCTGGTTCTTTATCAAGGTGTTACTTTTAGAATAGGGTAACCATTATCAGTAGTTTCATTCTTCACAGGTAACAATGAAAACTGAGTGTACCAGCAGTAAAGAAATCTGATTTGCAAATTTATGCTTATTCTAAGGTTTATTGAAAAACCATTCCACTTACATATGAGAACTACCTAAAGCCAAAAAGTGTTTTATTCAGGGTAAAACAAAATAACCCCATAACACAGCCAGTTTTCAACCAATTCAACCAATACAATTTAACAACACTACTAACAAATACCTGCCCCATATGTATTTTTATATACCTTTGTATATGTGTATACACACACACACACACACACACAAGCACCTTGAAAATTATAAAGTGCTAATAACACTTTTATGATTGTTATTGGAGTATAAGACAAGGAAATGTGATGGGAAGACAGAATATTCTAATCACTTATTCTTCCTAACAAATGCTAAATTCTTTTTCTTTTTTTTTTTCCCCTTTTTGTCTTTTTTCGTGACCGGCAACGGATCGCAACCCTCAGTGTCGCGCCCGCACCAGACCGGGACCGGCAACGGGATCGCAACCCTTGGCGCTGCGCCCGCACCTTGCTCAGCCAGTGAGCGGCCGGTCTGCATGTGGTATCCGAACCCTCGGTGGGAGCGCCGCTGCGCTCCCAAGCAGCGCACTGTAGCAGTGCGCCACCGGGCCAGCCAAATGCTAAATTCTTACACATAAAAAGTCCAGAAAGGACTTCATAACAAATTTATTTCCATCAACTATCCTTTTGAGGATCTTTCTATTATAATTTAGGAACTGCCTTAGCAATAAGCACAAATGTCTTTTATTAAAAAAAAAAACATATCTGAGACCTATCTTATAGGATGAAAGTTTCCTTCTGGTTCCTATGTCCACGTTTAAGCCTATTTTATTTCACTTGTATACAGGATAAATTATTAAGCTTCTTGTCACATTTATATTTCATTTAAATTGATATTTAATTCATATACCACAAAATTCACCATTTCTAAGTGTACAATTTGGTGTTTTTTATTAAATTCACAAGGTTGTACAAACATCATCACTATTTCCAGAACATTTTCACTCCAATAAGAAACCCCATACCCCATTAGCAGTCACTCCTCATCTTCCCTCCCCCAGCCCCTGGCATCACATTAATCCTTTAGTACGCTCATTTAAAATTTCTTCTTCCTCATCTTTTATCTCTTGGGCTCACATTTTTTCTTCCCCCAACCCAATAACTGATGCTACTCCCCGGGTTTCTGTCTTTGGACTACTCAGCTCTGGCCTGTCAACCTCATCTAGTTCAACAATTTCAATCACCACCTCTAACTAGTCCCTTATCTGTGTCTATAAGCCCAGATCTAGCGCAGAATCCAAGCCTACATTTCCAACTGCCTGCTTAATATCTCCATTTCAAAGTCTAAACAATACCTTAAACACTCAAAATTAATGCACTGTCCCCTCCTTTCAAGCCTCATCCTCCAACTTCCCCATTTCCTTTAGTACTTCTTAGGACTGAAATGCCTCTTCTCAAAAGCCATCCCTGATTCCACCCCATCTCTGTTCGAAGGTGGAAATGAATTCTGTCTTCTAAACTTCAAGAATATTTTGTCAGTGACACTCATGTGGCATGGGGCATGTCTTTTCGTTACATTGTCTGCACATGTGAAATACTGGACTGAAAAACCCCTTGAAGACAGATAATCTTATTTCACTTCTCTTTTGCTCACAGATTTTTTTTTTTTAAAGATGACCGGTAAGGGGATCTTAACCCTTGACTTGCTGTTGTCAGCACCACACTCACCCAGTGAGCTAACCAGCCATCCCTATATGGGATCCAAACCCGTGGCCTTGGTGTTATCAGCACCACACTCTCCCAAGTGAGCCATGGGCCGGCCCGCTCACAGATTTTTTTATACAATAACGTGCAATCAACAAACAACAATCAATGAAGAAACAAATGTTGAATAAATACCAATTGGGATAGAAGACTCAACAGTCACCTCTGAGGAAATTTAAGAACTAGAAAATTAAGTAAAAGCAAATATAACATTACTTTATTAGACTCAACAAAGGTATGGATGAATATACAATTATTAGGAGAGCAATAATAAACAGATGAGTAGTTTAAAACTACCAACTAGTTTACTAAAGTCAAACATTAACAATAGCTGTTAAATTATGCTGCTCAGGCTTCCAAGTTCATCTGTGTCCACACCAGCATACTCTTTACTAAGAAAGTATTAAAAGATTCAGGAGAAAGATATCAAGACAACCAGATTTAGAGGAAACAAATCTTTCCCCATAGTTTACGTGATTTCTGAGTAGTTGGTTACAACATTTAATAAATCTTAAGAATTATTAAACAGGTTGACTACCTTGGGTGGGGGGTTGGGGGGCACTGTTTGTTTAAGTTTTTCCAGTTCTATACCTTTGAAACCTGTTTTTAAAGCTATCCGTGCAAGAATTGCCAAAGTAGGTGAATAATCATATCAAATTATTAAATCTTTCCAAGCCTTTGAGGACTAAGTGAGCTAATGTAATAAAAGACGTAAGTAATTCAGCTAAACATACACCTGAGGCCTAAAGAATTGAGAAAAGAATCAGGGACATTTATTTGATAAACTATAACCAGAAAAAGTCTAATCTAACCTCTTTTTCAAAATCAAGTATAAGATCAAAGTGGAAAAGATTAAGAATAATAATTCAAATAGAAAAAAAACAAATATTTTTTAAAAGTTTACTTCTTAAAGTTTTCTTTAAGGGACCTTAAACATTCTGTATTACAATTATTTATATTTAACTATTCTATTAATAAATGCTGTTCAAATTTTTTTTTTCTTACAAAGCCGTGAATATGAATGTGCATAAAAAAGCAGAGGGAGCTTAATTAACATCACAGTCCCTTTCAGGCTTCTTGAAATATACAGCTATGGCACATCACTGACACACTGTGGCCAAACACTCAAATTGTAGGAGCAGTATTTTGAATTCTGTGAAGTGCACCTACTTAACAGTTCACATTGTTGTGCTATTAATGATAGCATTTAGGAGACAAGATTAGATTATGTGTCATAGATCCAATATGTATAAGGCATTAAAAAGAGAATAGATCAGGCCGGCCTGGTGGCGCACTGCTACAGTACGCCGCTTGGGAGCGTGGTGGCGCTCCCGCCGAGAGTTCGGATCCCACATACAGACCGGTTCCCGCTCACTGGCTGAGCGAGGTGCGGGTGCAGCACCGAGGTTTGCGATCCCGTTGCCGGTCCGGTACGGGCGTGACACTGAGGGTTGTGATCCGTTGCCGGACACAAAAAAAGACAAAAAAGGGAAAAAAAAAAAGAGAGAGAATAGAAAATTGAGTCCACTGCACAGAGAAGGTTAAATTCATGAAAAGTTATGTTTATACTTGTGAAAATTTATTCTTTAACAATAAATTTTTTTGCAATAAAAAGTTTTTGGTTTTTTTTTAGTATTTTATTTTGTCAATATACAATGTGGTTGATTATTGTGGCCAATTACCGAAACCTCCCTCCCACCTCCCTCTCCCCCCTCCCTCCCAACAATGTCCTTTCTGTATGCTTCTCGTATCAATGTCAAGGAATTGTAACTGTTATGTCTTCTTCCCCCCCGACCCCGGTTTTTTTGTTTATTTATTTATTTATTTTTAGCTCCCACAAATAAGTGAGAACATATGATATTTCTCTTTCTCTGCCTGACTTATTTCATTTAATATAATTCTCTCTAGGTCCATCCATGTCGTTGCAAATGGCAGTATTTCATTCTTTTTAATAGCAGAGTAGTATTCCATTGTGTAGAGATATACCACATTTTCTGTATCCACTCTTCATGGACATTTGGGCTGATTCCAACTCTTAGCTATCATAAAGAGTGCTGCGATGAACATTGGGGAACAGGTATACCTTTGACTTGATGACTTCCATTC